TTTCACCGTGCTAGCCAGGATGGTCTTGATCTCCTGACCTCGTGATCCACCCGTCTCGGCCTCCCAAAGTGCTGGGATTACAGGCTTGAGCCACCGCGCCCGGCCCTAGTTAAACTTTTAAATTCACCCTCATATTTTTGGAATTTATTATATTGTGGTATGAGATGGCAATCTAAATCAGTTTTTTTCTCTATTGATATTCAACAAGTTTTATCAACAGCATTTATTATTACTATTTTAATGAGTATTTGAATATTACTCAGCCATAAAAAGGAATGACATAATGACTTTTGCAGCAACTTGGATGGAATTGGAGGCCATTAACCTAAATGAAGTAATGCAGGAGTGAAAACCAAATACTGCATGTTCTCACTTACAAGTGGGAGCTAAGGCATGGGTACACACAGGCATACAGAGTGGTGTAATGCACATTGCAGATTCAGAAGGGAGGAAGGTGGGAGGGGGGTGAGTGATAGAAAAATTACCTACTGGGTACAAAACATACGCTACTCAGGTGACTGGTATACTAAAAGTCCAGACTTCATCATTATACAATTCATCCATGTAACCAAAACCACTTGTACCCCTAAAGCTACTGAAATTAAAAAATTTTTAAAAAAGAAAAAGAAAAATTAGAAAATATGTAAAAACATAAAGGAGAAAATAAAAACACCCAAAGTTGACTACCCACAGTTAACTATGGGTGTTTTATTTTATCCTTCCAGTGTTCTTTCTAGCCATGCATATTCTTATTCCCTCTCTCCTTTCTTTCTAATAAAGTCAACGTGCCATACAAACCTAATAGCACTAATTAAAGTGATTTATTTCCTTAGTTTACAATTTTCTGTTTGTTATCTATTAAATTCATATCAGTTTGGGCCATTTCTTGCTTTCTTTTTTTAAAATCAAAGTCAGTTGCTTATTGCTTATTTCCAAGTGAAAAGAATATACTTCCTAGGAATATACTTTCTAGAAATACAAGAAATATAATTGCTCTTTATCAGCACTTATTGATATGCATAAGGCATTGGGCAAATGAAAACAGTGCCTGGCATATTGTAAGCACCACATTAAATGTTGGTTAAATAAATTGCAATTGGAATAATGATCCAGAGAGATTTATAACATTCTGTATCATTTAAAAATAATATTCAGTTGGCCAGGTGTGGTGGCTCATGCCTATAATCCCAGTACTTTGGGAGGCCAAGGCAAGAGGATTGCTTGAGGCCAGGTGTTGGAGACCAGCCTGGGCAACATGCATATATACTTGTCTACAGTGAATACATAGTTGCCTCTAGAGAGGGAGAGTCTTGGCTAGGGGTTTCGAGAAAGACTCACTTTTGCATTGTTAACTTTTCATACTATCTGTGTGTTTTTTTAAATCCTGTGCATTTATTACCTTATTAACCAAAAATAATTATTCTATACAAATAAATAAATGAAATAACACCAGGAGGCAGAATATTATTTAGCTAAAAATGAATTAGGTATCTTCTCTCTGCCTGCCAAAACCATTCTTTCTAAGCTGTGTCCGTTAGAATCTTGAAAGCCGGACTTGCTTGCTGGCTTTTAGTAAAATGTGGTAAATGTGAAGGTATAAGTAGAGGCTGGAAGAAATGAGTGTAGGCCGGGCGCGGTGGCTCAAGCCTGTAATCCCAGCACTTTGGGAGGCCGAGACGGGTGGATCACGAGGTCAGGAGATCGACACCATCCTGGCTAACACTGTGAAACCCCGTCTTTACTGAAAAATACAAAAAAAACTAGCCGGGCGAGGTGGCGGGCACCTGTAGTCCCAGCTACTCGGGAGGCTGAGGCAGGAGAATGGCGTAGACCCGGGAGGCGGAGCTTGCAGTGAGCTGAGATCCGGCCACTGCACTCCAGCCTGGGCTACAGAGCGAGACTCCGTCTCAAAAAAAAAAAAAAAAAAAAAAGAAAAAGAAATGAGTGTATCTCTCCCTGGCCAGCAAATTTCCAGGCAGACATGGCAGTTATCACTCTGTGTCCCAAGCAGTGTACCTTGTATGGGCAGTGGGGCAAGCTAAGGAGACACAGGAGATATATGGGAGCCTAAAATGGAATTTTCAAATTCTTGCTCATGATTTCAAAATTCTCTTCAAAGGTGTACTCTAAGGGGCTTAGAGCTCTTCTCCCTATTGCCTATTAATCCATCCCCAAACGGTGCCATTCGTGTTGCTTGTGTGCTGTCTTATTGCTGTTAACTCAGCTCACCCAGAAAGTACTGTTGACACTCGCCCTCCAATGTTTTGAAGAATTTAAAACTCATAGAAAAGTTGAATGAATTGTACCATGAACACTCATATATGCACCACCTAGGTTCTACAATTAATATTTGGCTGTATTTGCTTTATCATGCATTTCAAAATAAGTTACAGATATCAGTACATTTATCCCTAAAGGCTTCAATGTGCATGCATATCATTGACTAGATTATATTAGTTTATGGGTTTTTTTTAAGAAAAATATATATACAGTGAATTTATATTTCAGTGAACTGCACAAATCTTGTGTATCATTTGATGTATTTCTTTTCTCTTTTATTTTTTTAGAGAGGGAATCTTATTCTGTTGCCTAGGCTGGAGTGCAGTGGTGGAACTACTGCTCACTGTAACCTCAATTTCCTGGGCTCAAGTGATCCTCCCATCTTGGCCTCCCAAAGTGTTGTGATTACATTTGTGAGCCACCACATCCTGCACATTTGGTCCATTTCTCACAAATGCATATACACTTGTATAACCCAAACCCCCTCAAGACTTAAATATAGAATATTACCTCAGAAAGTTTCCAAATGTTCTTTGCTAGTCAGTCTCCATCCCTACCCTGGTGGTAATAATTGTTCTGATTTTTTTCACCATAGGTTAGTTGTCTCTCTTCTCAAGCTTCATGTAAATGAAATCATACACTACGATCTCTTTTGTGTAAAATTTATTTCATTCAACATAATGTTTCTGTGATTCATCCACATTACAATGTGTACCAGTACTTCTTTCCTTTTTTTGCTGAGTAGTAGTCCATTATATGAACCTACCCTAGTGTGTCTATCCACTTTCCTGTTGATGGATGCCTGGGCTGTTTACCACTTTTGGCTATTACTAAAACTTCTATGAACATTCTTGTGTAAGTGTTTTTGTTTCTCTAAAGTTATTGCTAGTTCATAGAGTACATAATATGTTTAGATTTATAATAAACTGCCAGACCTTTTCCCAAAATGGCTGTACCATTTTGCTTTCCCACCAACAATGTAGGAGAGTTTCTTATTGGTCTTCCAAAAATATATGAACAAATACAGAGAGGACTTCCTCATCAGGGTACAAACTCCTATCAGATATACATTCTGTGAATCTTTTCTCCCAGATGACGGCTTGTGTATTAATTTTGGTGAACAGAGGTTTTGGATTTGATGAAGTCTGATTTATTGGATTTTTATTTTCTGTTATTGCTTTCTGTGTCCTAAGAAATCTATGTCTACCTTCGTAGTCAAAGAGATGTTTTCATGTATTTTCTTCTGACAGCTTTATAGTTTTAGATTTTAAGTTTATGACCTGTCTTGAATTACTTTTCCTGTATGGTGTGAGGTAGGGGTCAGGGTTCATTTCATTTTTTTTTTTTTTCCCCAATCTGGACGTCCAGTAGTTCCAGGATTGTCATCCATTCTCCATTAGATTGCTTTGGCATCACTGTGGACATTTTTAATAGTTTAAAGGACAGGCTTTTCTCCTTGGCTTTTTTAGTTAGTCAAGTATGGAGAGAGAACAGTTACTCCTTCCTGGTCTCCTAATCTCTTTACTTGTATTCTGGATGCTCCTGAATCCTGACTCAGTAAGCCCATGGAATTTTCTGTGGTTGGCAATAAGTTGTAGTGATTGGATTATTTGTTCTGTCTGGACATAGGATGACCAGTGTCCCAGTGAAGGAACGGGTGAAGGTGTCTCAGAACTGGAGACTGGGGCGCTGCCGAGAGGCGATTCTGCTGAAGTGGAGATGCAGGCAAGTAGCCTCTTGACTTCTTTAAAGCTACTTGGGACATAAAAGCATAATGGAAAGTAAAAAATCTGGTCCTACATAGAGGCTAATGGGGCTATCTTGGGTGGGGTTGCACTGGTGAGCCTTTGAATACCACAAAGGGGGCATCAGAAGGACAACTTTTAGAAGGGAATACAAGAAATGTACGTTAACAAATGACTTTTTTATGATTATAAAGAAATCAATGCTTATTTTAGAAATTTGAAGAAAAAGAAAGTTCTAAAGAAGAAAATAAAACTAACCTGTAACTCCACCACTCAAAGGTAACCTCTGTTAACTTATGCCATCAAAGGAAATAAATGAAATCAAGGTTTCAATTAATCTTATTTTACAAATATTTTTCTTTAAATCTTCTACTCTATGGAGTTACTTCTTCATTCTTGGCTTCCCTGAGTCCTCTCACCTACTTTATTAAAAGGCAGGGTAGGATCTAAAGGTTTGGATACATATGTTACAGGAGTTAGAGCTTAGAACAAGTATAAGGAAATTTAGAAAATGCCTGTGGCACCGCTAATGCCACCGATTTTTATGCTTCATTGATGCTAATGATTTCATAGTTATTATTTGACTCCCTACCAAAGAATTACTCCTTGCTGATTGGTTGCAATGGATAAGGAACATCATGATTCCACATTCTGGAGTGACCTATACTTGTACTGAAGACACAGGCAGGCCTCTTCATCTGATGAACATTTCTTGCTTGCTTGTGTCCAGTTTCCACTGGTTTCACTGGCATCAGATGCTGTGAATAATGTGGTATTGGGTAGTGGTTGTGGTGATGGTAAAGAAACTGCAGGAGAGAAAGACGGATTTTTATGATGAAGGACTTTACCCTCTGCTTCCCACATTGCCTTTTGGGGCTAGTTTCAAGCAGTTTGGCAAATAAACACACAGAACAGTTACCAGGCTGCCCTGGGATTCTCCACTGTTCACCTGGCATGAACCTGGTTTCTTGTCCTAGGCAAATGGCTGTTTACCAGATGGCTCTAAACACAAAAATTCCCACCCTCTCTGTTTGCTGCCTACTTGAGTGTGCCACACACTCACGCAAGGGGATATTCAAGAGGAATGTGCATAATGAGTGAGAAAGCAGGCATCTGTACACACTCTACACATGTTCCATGTAATATATGCACACACTTGTAAAAACCTCATGAGCAGAAACTCAGTTACTACAAAGTCTAAGCTGCATTTAATGGCCCGTCAAGTCAATTTGCAGAACTTTTCCACATTCCCATGACGCTTGTATTGAGTCTGGGGAAGAAACACAGCCCAGTTTGCTCAGACAGGCTTGGCAATAGGAGATGGTGGCTGTTCTTGGGGATGAATCAGCTGTCCCTGTGCTTTTCTTGGGACCTGGTAACTCCAGGACCCCTATGTAGAATAGGACAGGTGGGATGTCCACCTTGTTAAAGGGACTTAGTTTCCACCAGAGAGCCTAGTATCTGACAGTCTTCTTTCTTCTTAAGGCTCATTCCCTGCCGCAGGACTTGTCTGTGCCTTCTAGCCTTTCTTCCTCCTGTAAGATTGCAGAGGGAATCTTTAACTATTTGTGGATTTCTCTTATCAGTTGCCTGTGAGAGCTGACTTTCTCTGTAGCCCCTGAACTGTAGCAGAATGCTCTGGGGCTGTGTTTTTCCATTGCCACACTTACCCTCTAATACAGAAATGTAGATATCCCTGTGAGGATCTAGGTATCTAATCAGTACATTAGCATCCTTTCCTAAATAGCTTCATTCCTTTCACTTAAAAATGGCCCCTTAGCTCTAACAGAATAAGGGAATGGGGCTTCCCAGGGTTTATTCTTCTCTTTTCTCCATCATACCTTAACTGATCTATTGCGGAAGAGGTATGTATGGGAATCCTAGAACCTTGAAACTTCCCACTTATACTTCAAATCGATGAGGATGCCGAATGAAAGAAAGTTATTTCACCTGGCTAGAAGATTTCTTTTCTTTTTTCTTTTCTTTTTTTTTTTTTTTTTTTTTGAGACAGAGTCTCCCTCTGTCACCAGGCGCTATCTCGGCTCACTGCAACCTCTGCCTCCCGGGTTCAAGCGATTCTTCTGCCTCAGCCTCCGGAGTAGCTGGGATTACAGGCATGCACCACCATGCCCGGCTAATTTTGTATTTTTAGTAGAGATGGGGTTTCACCATGTTGGTCAGGCTGGTCTCGAACTCCTGACCTCAGGTGATCCACCTGCCTTGGCCTCCCAAAGTGCTAGGATTACAGGTGTGAGCCACTGTGCCCAGCTGAAGATTTCTTTTTGACCCTTCTCACCCCTTGACCATTGAATTTTGTAAGCTCTGCCTACCCATGAGAAGTCCAGGTAGCCAGTAATTGAAATATTAAATATTCTCCAATTAAAAGTGGTATTTAGTTGGTCTTTTAATTTTGAGTCTCTTTTAGAAAGTCCAAGGAAGATTAGATCACCACAAAGTTCAATTACTCTAGTTTTCTGAGGATAGCTGAGGGGTAGGTAATTTTGAAGGAGGGTATCAAGTATAGATAATAAGCCTTGTTATCCTTGCTAAGTTAGGGATTGGTCAGACCCTTCAAAGATTGGAGTTGAGTTTTCATACTGTATCTTGATGACTTAAATTTTATTTTCCATCGTTTCAGTCAGATGCCCTGGATGCAGCTAGAGGATGATTCTCTGTACATATCCCAGGCTAATTTCATCCTGGCCTACCAGTTCCGTCCAGATGGTGCCAGCTTGAACCGTCGGCCTCTAGGAGTCTTTGCTGGGCATGATGAGGACGTTTGCCACTTTGTGCTGGCCAACTCGCATATTATCAGTGCAGGAGGGTAAGTGCTGCAGGTTTCTCCTTCCACCCTTTTCCATCTTATTTTTCGGGGACATTCTGCCTGTCTCTGACTTTTCTGTCTTAACTCCGAAGGGATGAGGAGGGAGACGGAGGGTTTTCCATTTAAAGCAGAGAGATTTTACTAAAAGGAGTTAATAGGGTTAGCTGGAGAAGGAAAACAGGAAGAGCTTCTAATGAAAAGTGAAGCTGGTTTTGATATTCTCCAGGGGAAAATATATTTTGTCTCTCAGCTCTGTTCAGCCCCAGGTGTGCTGAAGAAGTAAAGGTATCTAGAAAGTCAGCACCTTACTGGGCTGAATTGCCTATTGCTTAGCAAATTTGGATGTCACTGGAGACTTAGGCTGTTTCTGGAGAGTTGTTCTCTTCCTACAGAAAGAATAATTGGTTCTTGGGGATCGGCTCCTTATTTCTCTCCTAGAGATGGGAAGATTGGCGTTCATAAGATTCACAGCACCTTCACTGTCAAGTACTCGGCTCATGAACAGGAGGTGAACTGTGTGGATTGCAAAGGAGGCATCATTGTGAGTGGCTCCAGGGACAGGACGGCCAAGGTGAGGTGGTCTCCCCGTTACATACTATTACTCTCTCCTGTCTATAGGGAGTGGGGTGGATAGAGCCCCGAGTCCCAGGATTGGCTGAGAGTATCGGCTGGGGGCGGGGGAGAAAAACGACACAATAAAGGACTCACTTATGTGCCTCTGGCATGCAGCTTGCCATGCCAGGTGTTGTCCCTGCCAACTGGACTGGGAAAGGAGTGGACAGTGGCTGGGAAGGTTGCCACTCACTTGCAATGTGGCGTGAACTCAAAAACAGAGGACCTGGCAGCCTTTCCTCCCTGAGTTGCGTTTCCTCAAGTTTGTGGGTTGAGTTCTGACCCTAATATTTTATTTTAAAATCTCCCTCCTTATTGCCTGCTCTCTGTTTAGGGAGGTTAATTTTTCACCACCTTGTTTATAAGCAATCAGGCTGATAATTAAAATGTGTTTTCACTGCTTCTCTGGAGAGTAATGTGGTCAGTAAGCAGTAGAGACTATGAGAGAGGGGTGTTGTTTGTTGCATCTTTGCCAAATTGCCCGGTCCACAGATATCCACCAAAGCAAAGCATAAAAGAAAGTGAGGCTGATAAATAGCATGATCCTGACTTCATGGACTCATCCACATCTGGGTCAAATAGGCTCCCACCTGTGAGACAGAGAAGTCTTTCTCCAGGCATGTGCCCAACAGCTGTAGCCAGGGCCTACACAGGCCTGGTCCTTTAGGGTTGCTGTGGGAACTTTGCTGACAATTCAGTTGGTGATGCAGGAGGCCCAATAGTGTCTTGTTACGTGTTTCCTAGCATCTAGGTTCCATAGTGCTAACAGGAACAAAATGCTTGCTGGTATGTCAGCAAATAGGCCTCAAAAACACATAGGGAGAGGACTCAGGAGAGGGAAATTGCAATCTTTACTCAGTAACTTCTCTGACTGCATGTACCCTCTGGTGATTACACCTCCATATAGAAATATTGCTATTTTATGTAAAAAGAAGGGCTAAATATGTTCCCTTCTTTTTATGGAAGTTTCTCCTCCCTTTACTATTTTCTGCCTTACTTTGTACTCTGTCAGAGAGAATGTACACCAGCACAGGAAGCTTGAGAAAAATCCAGCATATCTTTTGAACCAACATGGAAACTGAATTTCCTGTCACTTGCTTCCTGTTACCCTACTTCCTACTTACTTCAGGCTTCTGATTGGTCACTGTCCTTGTACCATTCCCTGAAAAGATCCAGACCTAGACGTGTTATACTGCTCAAAAGTCAGTTTGCATAGAAACCTTTTGTGGCATGTGTGACCTAGGTATTCCTGTCTTATTCTAGCCATCTTCCTGTCATGGCTTCAGGCTTCCCCAAGTTCCTCCTTTTCAGGGACACCTCTTTCTTCTATTCTCTGTAGTCTGAAACCCAGAGCAGTATAAAACTAAGCTTTATAACCACAGATAGCAATCTAAGGGTGTAGATTGCTTACAGTTGAAGAATAATAGCAAGTTTATTTGAGGTATTGGGTTAGTTTCATGTTTGAGTACTGGTTTAGCCCTATTTAGTATCTTAGATTTTTTAAAAGATCTAAAATAAATTCTTCCTTCTAAAATTGTCACTACAGTCCATCTTAATCCTTCTGAGGATTTCTTTTAGGTCAGTGACAGAATTCTCTTCTCTGGTCCTGAAAGCTGGTCAGCTGGTTTGCAGCTCCCCTGTGACCTCTCTGCCAACTCTTCTTTCCTGGCTTTCCAGATGCTGGGTTTCCCTCCTTTCTGTTGTTGTCTTTGCATCCAGCCCTTTGTTATCCTGAGCCATTTCTACATTACTGTTATATTCAGTTTGTCTTTTATAACTGAAACGTCATTTCTTTTCAGTGGCATCTGAAATTCTACAGCTGCTTCTCCAGGCTTCTAATACACCTGAACCTTCATAAGAATTTACAGTGATATTTGCCTGTAACCATCTATTTTTGGGGAGTTCCCCAAATATGTACTGTATTTTAGGAAAGAGATTTATTTTATGGGGTAAAGGGAAGTAAAACAATCTCTTTGCAAGACATCTGAGCTAGGGACTGTCCAAAGAACCCTCTTCCTTCCCCTTCCCACAATCTCAGTTTCAGGTTTTCTGTGGCTTAGCTTGGATTGCGTCTCTGGGCTTTAGTGGGGCCAGCCCCATCCTGAGATGTGAAAAGATGGTAGCTTATGTTCTTAATGAGCCTGGGCTGGTACTAACCATTCCTTCGTTTCCTTCTTTATTTCTCTATTCTTTCTTACGAGTGCCTACTATGTGTGAGGCTTGGTACAGAGGCACCTGGGCTCTTCAGAAGTAAAGAAGATACAGCCTCTTACCCTTAGGTTGAGAAGAGATGTGCATACCTGGCCATGGAGCTGATTGGAAGTGGCTAGGACTGTGGAGTATAAAGCTCTAGGGAAAGAGCCAGAAAGTTTAGAAGGTAGAGAGATCAGATCACATCTGGCTTAGAAGGGAAGATTTATTGTAATAAGAACCACCATTATTGTTTGCCTGATACCTGCCAAATACTATGCTGCTGTGCTAAATGCCTTATGCTTATCTCCACTTTTCCACACTATAACCCTGAGATAGGCATCATTTCTCATTTGACAGATGAGGAAACGGAAGCTAAGAAGTTACTCCTAAGATCAAAGATAATAAGTAGCAACTAGGGTTCAAATCCAGATTGGTCAGATGCCAAAGCCTATGCATGCTTTTTTCTGCAATTGCAGGCTGCAGGGAATATTTTACCATTTAGGTTTTTCTTTTGTTTTAGGATTATTTTCTTTAGGATAGATTTTCATCAACAAAATTACTGAGTTAAAGGCTGTGATCATTTTAAAAGTCATGATGCATATCACCAGTCTGCTTTTTATGTTTTTGAGACGGAGTCTGGCTCTGTCGCCCAGGCTGGAGTGCAGTGGCCGGATCTCAGCTCACTGCAAGCTCCGCCTCCCGGGTTTACGCCATTCTCCTGCCTCAGCCTCCCAAGTAGCTGGGACTACAGGTGCCCGCCACCACGCCCGGCTAGTTTTTTTTGTATTTTTTAGTAGAGACGGGGTTTCACCGTGTTAGCCAGGATAGTCTCGATCTCCTGACCTCGTGATCCGCCCATCTCGGCCTCCCAAAGTGCTGGGATTACAGGCTTGAGCCACCGCGCCTGGCCACCAGTCTGCTTTTTAAAAGAACTGTATAAATGTCCACTCTCGGCCGGGCGCGGTGGCTCACACCTGTAATCCCAGCACTTTGGGAGGCTGAAGCAGGTGGATCACGAGGTCAGGAGATTGAGACCATCCTGGCTAACATGGCAAAACACTGCCTCTACTAAAAATACAAAAAAATTAGCTGGGCTTGGTGGCAGGCGCCTGTAGACCCAGCTACTCGGGATGCTGAGGCAGGAGAATGGCATGAACCCAGGAGGTGGAGTTTGCAGTGAGCCGAGATTGCGCCACTGCACTCCAGCCTGGGCGACAGAGTAAGACTCTCAAAAAAAAAAAAAAAAAAATCTCGAAAAATAAAAATAAAAAGACCACTCCCACTGAATCTTTTCCAGGGTTGGATCTGTTTTGAATTTGGCCATGGAGGGCAAAGATAGGATCAGCGTATTGTTGTCAACTCCTGTCCCTCAGGTGCCAGGATGGAATCTCATGTTTCTGGAGGATAATGTGTTGCTGGGCTAAGCCAGGAGGGCCACTTTCTTAAGATCATGCTCAGAATTGGTGGCATGCTTCCTGAGCCGCTCCTGGAGACCAGGAACCTTGTTCTGTGGTTTGCAGAATCTAGGAATCCACCTTCCCTTTCCATGGAGGACATTAGTGAATTCAGGCCTAGGCCTTCCCCATAGATTTTGTAATCAGAATCTTTAGTGTTTCCTCACTCCCAAGAAAGAATCTGCCTCCCAGGGAGTTTGTGTCAGGGAAAAGGCAAAGCTCTCTTTTTAGCTGGGCTGCCTAAAAGAGTACATTGGAAATGTATCTAGTTATTGCCAAAGGGGTATAGAGTCCAAAGAGCAGGCCTGAATCATGGCACTCAGGAAAAGTTGTGGTGTTTACCTTTGTTTTCTGCTCCTCCTCATTTAGGATCTTCTTCTTACGTTTATTTTCTTTTCACTGTGTTGGGAAAAGTAACTCACACAATCATCCCATCCCCCACACCCATCATACACACAAACTCTAAGAAACACTTTCTCCTTTTATAGGGAAGAGTTATCATGTGACCCTAAGAAGCCAGGATCACCCCTACTCCATCACCTACCCTTTACACTCAAGGAATGTTTCCTTTAAAGTTCTTCCATCTAAGGTCCTGCCTGAGTTTTGTATGTTCCCCTTATAGCACTGCTGGGACCTTAAGAGGTCACTGATCCATCTGGCTGCCTCTGGATCCCTCTGTTGCTGCTGTCTTGGGATAGCCCTGTATGTCTGAGGTTTCCTTTCTGTTTGGTTAGAGGCTTATGTCCCTGTGTGTGTCATCTAGGGTAGGGTGAGGTGAGGGGGGAGTCCTGTGCTTAATGGGAGATGTCTAAATGCACTGACTGCTGAGAGGGCTCTGTGAGTGTTGATTAGAGTTAAGCCCAGAGTGGCTGCTAATGTACATTCCTGACTGATAGGGACCAGATAATGTGCTCCAAGCAATATTTTTAACCTGTAGGAGATATGGAAGCTTAAAAGAGTTAAGCTTTTCTGCTACTTTTGGTGACACTAGGTGCTAAATTCCCTGCTGACGTGAATAGTTTTGGATCCTGGGCATTATCAACAAACAAACAACAACACACCACCTTCCCACTTGGAAGTTTTTCTTCTTCTTCCATTCTTTCCTTCCCTTGCATCTTTCTTTTTACTTCTCTCCCTGATTCTATTGCTGTCCCCCTATATTGTGCCTTGATCTTCTTCCCTCTCCCTACTTCTCCAAAGTAAAATCTTGGTGAGAGATAGGAGAAAGGAAAATCCACAAATACAGGAAAGCTGTCAAGAGAGGCAAGCCCCACCCACCCACTTCTTCTCAGTCAAGTCTCAGCTGAGGAGTGTGGAACTTCTGATTCCCCAATATAAAGTTGGCTGGTAAGTAAGGGCTCTGAGTGGAAGTAAAAGAGGGTGGTTAGGATGGAGAGCTAGGCCCTATCTATGGGGGTAGGTGAGCCAGAAGCTGCAGGGGCTCCTCTGCTGATACCCGAGCTCTGTGTGTGCAGGGCATAAAGGATTCCCCATTTCTCCACCTCCAACAGTCACCCCTGCCGGAGCACCTCTCCTCCCCACTGATCCCAGGCAATGCCAACGAGAGCATCTCCTCTCCTGTTTCTAGGTGTGGCCTTTGGCCTCAGGCCGGCTGGGGCAGTGCTTACACACCATCCAGACTGAAGACCGAGTCTGGTCCATTGCTATCAGCCCATTACTCAGGTAAGGGAGACATATTTGGATGTAGTTTTGTCCTGTATAATAATGCTTTTATTCTACTAGATCAGGTGAGCTAGAAAATCTTCCTGTTGTGTATTCTAGGTTGCTTTGAGTCACTGTCTTGGAGATTTTTTTAATCCTCCAGAGATTTGAGGTGTTTAGGTCACTTCATATATGCGTGGGATTGAAATAACCTTCTAAATGCAAATTTCCTAAGCATCTAACCTCAGAAATGTTAAGGAAAGAGTACTATATGAGAATATAACTAAGAATCCAGCTGTTAACCAGGAGTGTCCCTTCTGGAACAGTTGTCCTCTGGGGTCATTCCCAAAGCAGAGGCCTCTCACCACCCTTGGAAGGTGACAACACCAGCCAACCTGCTCTTACAACTCACATGTCTGCTTTGCTCCCCTTGGAAAATGGCCTCTGGAGTATCCCTTACAGACTTAAGTCATCAGGAGAGGCTTGGGGCCCAGATCCAGCTGGGTCCTCAAACAAAGACATGTATGTGAAGTAGTGACATTGATTATTATAGCAAAACTGTGAAATTTTGATGATGGCTTTACTGTACCGTTTGGCCTGATTGTTACTTCTCTTTTTTTATTATTATTTATTTTATTTTATATTTAGAAATGGGGTGTTTCTTTTTTTTTTTTTTTGAGACAGAGTCTTGCTCTGTCACCCAGGCTGGAGTGCAGTGGCACCATCTCGGCTCACTGCAAGCTCCAGCTCCTGGGTTCATGCCATTCTCCTGCCTCAGCCTCCCAAGTAGCTGAGACTACAGGCGACCGCCACCACGCCCAGCTAATTTTTTGTATTTTTAATAGAGACAGAGTTTCACCGTGTTAGCCAGGATGGTCTGGATCACCTGACCTCGTGATCCGCCCGCCTCGGCCTCCCAAAGTGCTGGGATTACAGGTGTGAGGCACCGCACCCGGCCCTAGAAATGGGGTGGGTTTTTTTTTGTTCTTTTTTGTTTGTTTGTTTTTGTTTTGTTTTGTTTTTAGAAATGGGGTGTTTCTATATTGACCAGGCTGGTTTCGAACTCCTGGCCTCAGGTGATCCTCCCATCTTGGCCTCCCAAAGTGCATGAGCCACTGCACCTGGCCCTGACTATTATGTCTTTAACCTTACCTATGGACAAGTGAGGTTTGCATCCCGACTTCTGCTTTCAAGGCTCTCTGGAACCGAGACAGAATCCCTCTCCTCCCCTGCAGGGTACATAGATTCTCCTGTACCTGTTCTATCACAACATTTTCCTAGGATCTTCATCCACTTCCTTCACCCTACTCACATGGAAATGTGAAAGCTGTAGGGCTGCCACCCTCCAACACTAGGTTTAAGTCAGTTGCTTATTTTATAAGAGACTTGGTCCTGCCCACTTCGCTTAGGCCCTTCAGCTTCTTTCTCCTCACCCTATGGAGCCTGCACCCCTCCTCCTGCTCCCTTCTACAACTCCCTTTCAGATTTTTTTCTTTCTAAGAATTAGAGCCGATTAGCCATGTCATTAATTCTTCAATTTGACGGCTGATATAGCAGGACCTGAAACACATTGCTGACCCCAGAGAATGGAGACCCCGTTCCTTAGCATATTGACGATGGGAGAAGTTAATTAAAATTCCACAGAGCAGAGGTGTCGGCTAACCTATAAACCTGTCGCTGTTCAGAACAAATCATTCTAGCAATCGTAGGAAAGAGGGAAGGAAAGACCAGCAGGGAGTGGAGAGGCTAAGTGTGTGGGAGCGGAGAGTGGAAAATGGAGCCATTGAGCTCTGTCTCCTCCTCCGTTTCTTCCTAATGCTGCCCTTTTTAAAGCCAGTTAGCCAGACCTGGGCATCTGTAGGCTGAATAGAAGGAAAGTGCTATAGCCAGTGAGAAGTGACAAGTGTACTGGTGACTTTGTCTTAATGGTTGCTTGTGGACTTCTGCTGGTTTGGGGAGACTGAAGTGGAGGTGGTGGTAGAGAGACGCTCTCAGGGCTGGAGATGGTCCGTGTGCTTCCTGCATATGGATTGAAGCCAAAGAACACAAACAGGCTCTGCCCTGCATCCCTACCCCACATTTCTCTATTCCAGCCTCCTCTTCTGGAATGTGTTAGGCTACCTCTTAACAGAATAGGGCACAACAACTATTGAAGATGGTGTCAATAAAAGAGGTTGAGGACAGAGTCTGCCCTCATCATTAAGAAGCATTTAAGATTACAGTAAACTGATTTTGGGTTTTTTAGTCACAACTTGGAGACTGGCTTTGGGGAAGGACCTAGCTTTCTAGCATTACTACTACTATATGACTGCCACTACTACTAGCAGCTAACATTTAGTAGTCATCTGCTCTGTGCCAGACCCTCTGCTAAAGCTTTGATGTGTCTCATCTTTGGTGAAGACCTAGGCCTTATGTTTTCTTCACATTCATCTTCAGGGTCTTCCTGTCCTCTTCTTGGCCCTGGGATGAATTTTTTTTTTTTTTGAGAGGGGTCTCACAGTGTTACCCAGGCTGGTCTTGAACTCCTGGGCTCAAGCCATCTTCCCACCTCAGCCTTGGGATGATTCTTTCACTCTGTCAGCTCCTGACCCACAGTTATTTAAGATGATCTTCCCCTAACTCCAGAAATGAGGTCTTGGGGTCTTTTAAAAAATAGTTTGTGTTTGAGATTCTGTCTTTACACTAGATGACCAGAGTGTATGCTGGTGTTATCTCTGCCTCTTTTTCTCTTACCCAAAGAATATACTGGGATAGGGTCTTTTGACCTCATTATTAGATCCATTTCTTCTCAATGTGACCGTGAATTTGAACCTTTCAATAAACTCATTCATTTTCTCAGTCTTGAGAGACACTGCCTCCCAGCCTCAGGGTCTGTTCTTTAAAGCAGTCTGGGAGATGAGTTCTGCTTTGCCTTCAACTAGCAGTGTGGCCTCAGACAAGTCATTCCCACTCCCAGCCTCAGTTTCCTCATATTAAATAGGAACACTCTTTTCTTTATAGACCTTATTAGATTATTGTGAAGATGACCTGAAATAATTTATATGAAAATATTAATACTATGAAAAGCTAAAAGGGCTGTAATATATATGTGTTATGCATATTGAGATAGGGTTTCACTTTATCACCCAGGCTGGTTATGAACTCCTGGCCTCAAGTGATCCTCAAAAAGGGCTATAATGTAATGTCAACCAGAATCCTTTCTTGCCTGGTTTAGCATTTGCTTAGTGGCTTCAACTGCTGTCAAGTCTCTACCCTTTTCCTGGGCTCCTCCTGGCCCCAGGGATTTTCCCTGCTTTTTTGCAGTCTTATTGAGGTGGGGACTCAGTAGGAATCTCTCTTCCCCCTGTAGCATTCCTGCCCTCAATGACCACCTTCAGTTCCCCTCCCTGCCACCATTCCTGTTGAGTATGGTTGTCAGCGTCACTAATGTGATAGACCCTGGACTCCTCATAGAGAATATGAAGGGATGTGGCAGCCAGTGTACTGGCCCTAGGGCAAGTACTCCTGGTTTACCTGCCAATTTCTCAGCCCTTTGTTGCTCCCTTATGCAGTTAGGAGGAACCTGGACAGTTAGGAGACCTAGCACAGCTCTTTTCTCAATTTATCTCTTTCTTCTATTTAAAATAATTTATCAGACATATTAATCTTATTTATCTTTGATGCTGGGACTCTTCTACCTTCTCTTCTTTTGTATGTACTCAGGCGCTTGTATGAAACATGAAACCTCAATCCAGAGGCTTAATTTGAGGTCCTCACAACTGAGAGAAAGCAGGTATCTGTTCTGTGTTCAAATGTCTTCTTTCCTTTCTTCCTTTACTTTGAGTTCTTAATTTGTAAAGAGTCATGGAGGATGGTATTTAATACTGGTTATGTGCTTAGAGCCATGTGTAGATAGTCAAAAAACAGAGAAGGAGAACCAGCAGGCTCCAAAGGAAAGTGGTAGGCAAGGACCTTTTCTTCTGCCTCCCACATACCCTCCTACCCATCTTATTGTTCAACACCAGTAATCCTGTTTTTAAGATTCATGACTTAGAAAAGAAACCCTTCTCCTGTAGAGGAGGTCTCACCTGGAGTTGCTGGATGATTGCTAGAAGGACAGGTTAAGATGACCCAGGAATGAGATGCTGGAGGCATGTCTGGGGTGAAGGGGCATATGTCTGAGTGCAATTTTGGAGCAGGAATACCTTCAGCTCACAGGCCTCAGAGATACAACCTCCTGAGGTCACATGGAATTCTGAGCAACTTCCCATGAGTAACACAGAAAAGCAGACTCTTTTTTTTTTGGAGACAGGATCTTGCCTGGAGTATAGTGGCACAATTATAGTTCACTGCGGCCTTGAACTATTGGGCTCAAGTGATCCTCCCACATTGGCCTTCTGAAGTGCTGAGATTACAGGTGTGAAAAGCTATGCCTGGCCAAAAAGCAGATTTTTAAAAATGTGTAATATGTTTTATTGCCATTTAAAAATTATTTCCAGCTGAATGCAGTAAATACTAAAGTATGAGGAAATGTAGAAATATTAAACACTTAACTTCATTCCCTTTGACTTTCCATCTCTTCCCTTCTTACCCTTTCACCTCACTCCTTGTGTATTTACTGAACACTTGATACGTGGCAGCTTCCCCAAGGATCTTATTCAGTCGTGGGGATACGATAGGCACATGGCTGTAATGATTACCAGATTATACTAAGTGCCTTAACCTAGGCTGTCCTTGGTTGGGGAGGAAGGGGGAGTGTCATTTTCTTTTGCGGAAAGGCAAAAATTGAGGCCCAGGGAAGATCAATGCGGGGCCACATGTGGAATGGGGCAGAAGAGGCAGTAGTTTGTACCCAGGTCCCTAGCCTGTTCCCATGTCCTGCATGCTGAGGGACAAGCAGGCCTTTGATCACTGCTGTGCCTTATTCACCAGCATCTTGGATGGTAGCTGTGGCCCATAAAAGGCTCTGTGGGGACCTGTGAACATTCTCTTTTCCTGGAGGCCAGAGTTGAGACAGGGAGGGGTGGGAGAAGGCAGCATAT